AAACCCAGCCCTGGGGACCTGCAGAGGGCTAACCCCTGGGAGGAGCATGGTGGCTTGCCCGTGCCCTGGAGTGCTGGCTGCAAGGATGTGCACATCTGGTGTGCATAGAGGTGGGATTGGAAAGGTCTACTGGAGAGCAGCGGGGCGGGCAGGGCACTTGGCTGAATAGGGATTGGTCCCTCCTTTTCACCCTGCTCCAGGATACAAAAGGAAACACCTCTCGGGAGACACAAGCCTGGCTCCCAGCTGCAGAGGCCAGTGACACTCTCCCTGGCCTCTGATCTGGAGATTACCTAGGGCCTGCACAGTGCATGTCCATCAGCAAGAGCCCCGCTGGGCACTACGGCCCCCTGCACCCAAGTGGAATCTCCTCGGCGTGAAGGAATCTGACCCTGCTAATGCATCACGAAACTGACTGAGTGAGCCAGGGGCTTTCCTGCCTTTGCTGCAGCTGGGCTGGCAAACTTCCCGCACATCCAGTGCTAAAGGAGTGCTTGGCAGTGCTGGTTCTAGGGGCCAGTCTGGCTCTCCGAATCCCCACACTGCGTGCTCATGAACATCCCTCCTGATGATCCCCGGGGCTGCGTAGAGCAAGAGCAAGCACCGCTCCCAGGGGGAGGAGAGGGCATATTGTGGCAAGATGTGATGGCTGGCCTGCACTCTCTGGGGCTTTGTGCCCTGTCTCTCTGATCCTTTCTTTCCTTATGCTAAACTGATCCCATGGTCCATTATTCTAAAGGACCCATCTGTCTAGGGTCCATCAGAGGCAGGCAGCTGCTGAGCTTCCTCCACCAGCAGATCCTCAGGGTGGGAGCCCAATGCCTAGGGAGCCAAATCTGCTGGGTGGCACTGAGCACCCGCAACTGGAACTCAGCACCCAGTTCTTTGAGAATCTACCCTTCACCTGTACCGTGTATGCAGGCCTGCTCCTGCCCCTCCCGAGGGCTGGCTGGCACTGCCCTCTCATCCACCTTCACCCCCATCACACACCCCCTTGCTTCTGCCGCAGGGCTCAATGGAGCCCAGCAAGGCACATCTCAGCACCCACCCAGAAGGAGCTACACGAGCCCTAGGGCACTAGGTGCTGGCACCCTGCCGTTTGGGACTCACTCAGGCTAAAGCTGGGGTGATAGGCGGCCTGGGAAGAACAGCCCGGAGGACGTTGCCGCGGAAGCGAGCACAGCTTTGGAGACATCTCCGAGTCTCAAACGAGCACCGCATGAACAAACGCGCAGGGCCCCTCACTGGCAGCACGGGAGAGGGAACCAAGAGGGCAGCACAGCAGCTTCATCCCCCCGTCAGAACACGGCAACGCTGAGGGAGGGACCAGCTCCCGCACAAGTGGGACCGTAGTCCCTCTGGAGAGCCAGCGACGCACCTCGGAGAGTCACTGGCACATGCCCACACCCTGTACCCCACTCAAACATGACCCTGCCCCAGATAGCCACCCCACCATATCCCCGCCCTCACCCAGATACACGCACCCCTGTACCCGATCCCACCATATCCCCGCCCTCACCCAGATACCCACATGCACCCCTGTACCCCATCCCACCATATCTCCGCCCCCCCCAGATACCTGTCACGCACCCCTGTACCACATCCCACCATATCCCCGCCCCCCCACAGATACCCGCAAACACCCCTGTACCCCACTCAAACATGTCTCTTCTCCACACGGATACACGCATGTACCCCTGTAACCCACCCCAGCTCCCACACAAATACCTGCATGCACCCCTATAGCCCACTTCCACCATATCCCAGCTCACAGATACCCCTGTGCAGCCTGTACCCCTCCCCCACCATATGCCTACCCCTTCACAGATACCTGCACGCTCCCCTATATCCCACTCCCGCATATCCATGCCCAAACACTGGTACCCCCACGCTCCTGTTTCCGAACCTCACATATCACCACCCTCCCACCCCCATATATACCTCTAACCCTCCCCAGGTACCTGCACCCACCCCTATGCCTCAACCTCCCCCCCCATTTCTCAGGTACATGCACACACTCCCGTCTCTCCTGCCTGCCTCCCCACCCCCATATACACACACCCTATGCCCCAGCCCCCAGGTACCTGCATAGAGCCCCATGCTTCACCTGTTACATCCCTCAGCATATGCACACTCCCCTAGAGTTGTTCCTTGTAATGTCTCCCTGGCAATGGGAAATGTTCTGCAGCATTAGGAGGCGGCCTGGGCCAGAGTGATTAGGCTGTATTCAGTGTTCATGCTTCTGTAATGAAATGTGATTGTTTGGGGCTGTTCTGGAAATCACCTAATTTCTGTTGTTTCCAGGGGCCCTGCAGAGCCTGTGTGCTGCAGGGGCTTCCAGGTAGTATACAGTCCTTTGTAGACACCCTTGTGTGGGTGACAGTATGACCAGATCATCAGCAGGCAGCTGATTAGTGGGGGTCCCTGGTGTAATACAGCCAGCCATGCCCAGATAGGTAGATCACACCTCTGTATTCTACCAACTTCAGAACAGCTTCCTGAGGGGGCCGCATGCTCTCTGCCCAAAGCTAAGAACTTGGTGAATGGCATGGTTATTGCAAGGTGTTTGTACGGGAACAATTTCAGCGCTGTCCAATGTGTAGAAGATTGTGTTCGCAGGATGCTGGGACTGAAAGCTCTCACCTGAGGAGGGGAAGGCGGAGAGCTGACCCACTCAGCATCTGTGGAGACAGCCTGCATTTACTGGCTGGACTGGATGCAGGCTGCAGATTTACAAAGACAAATGATTCTCCCTGAGATAAGGAAGAGTAGCTTGAGACCGTCTGAGAGAAGAAATGGCCCAAATGGTGCACCATTACGAAGGAGTGACTCTGCCAGTGGGCTCTCTGAGCTGGAGAAGCGCTGCAAGAACTAAGCAGTGGGTGAGAAATCTTTTCTTAGGCAGGAAAGGAGCTTGCTATTAAGTGTAGGCTCTGGATTGCATTTAGTGTTTTTCTCCTAACTGTAACCTTATGGTTCCACATTCTTTTACTGGAATCTTTATCTCAAGCTCTGTTCAATAAACTCCAATTTGGTTTGACTATGAACCCTGTCCAAGCGCCTTGTGCTGAGGAGACTGTGGAGTTGAGGTGAAACCAGTGAACTGGGCTGCACTGTCTCCAGAGAGGCAGCGGATCGGCATGCACTGTGGGTGTTCAGAAGCTAAGGGACTGGGCCCTTGAGTGTCACAAAGCGGAGTGTTTAAATTGCTAGCCAGCAGAAGTCACGGAGCTGTACCACAATGCCTTGTGTTGGCAGCAGCTGGTGGCCGGTGAGTAAGCAGGTAGGAGTAATTCACCCCAGACAGTTCGGGTACCCCCAAAAAGGGTCACAGCAGGTTGGCATAGGTCACTGATGTCAATGTTGCAGAGGGTTGGGCTGAGGTTTTACCCCCATTCTGGCTTGGAGGCCTTCCTGCATTTGCATGTTAGTTTTTATCTTGCATCTAATGGATTGGTATGCGGATTTAATGAGGTCACATTTTCCCAACTGTTCCATTTTGCAGCAAGTTTAAGGTTCAGTTCTAGGTGCCGGGCTGAGTCTAAAGTGGTTCTGTGATCTATGAAGCAGGCAAATCACCTGTCATTTGTTGTTTGTCGATTTGTTAACGAGGGTGTGTCGACCTTCCAACTGGGAGGAAGCTTCCCAGCCTGGCTCCACAGACTTGTGATAGCAGGGATCATGATAGCGCTGTGGGCTGGAGCTCTCAAGCTCCCTTACTCTCCTTCCAGCCCAAACTGGAACATCAAAGCATCATCTACACAGCTCTCTGTAGAGCCCTAGTGTGAGCCCCATTGGTACAAGTCTGTGGACCTAGCCTGGGAGACTCTCCCAGATGCAGTGTGGACCCATCAGGAGTGTCTGCAGGGTGGGGCTGGGAAGCCGGTCACAAGATTTGAGAGACTTTAATTACACAGGAAGTTGGGAGAGTGTGACAGGGCAGAGTTAAGGTGACTTGGGGGCCCTAGCTCTGCATTTCCAGCCCTTACCATATCTCGAGTGCTGTTAAACTTCCCCTGAACTGTGAATTTCCTGGGCTCGTGCTTCAGGGCTTGGGGATAATGACATCTCGACAATGTATTTTACCCTCAGGTGCTGAAACGTCCTCTCAGGTGTAACCCAAGTAACACAGCTCTTGTCTGGGGAATGGGAGGAAACGACAGAACAGTCTGCAGCTGCTGCTCCCCAGCCAGTTCTGACCCATCTCTGCTTTGGAACCATAGGGTAATTAGTCACCAGAGCCCATCGCAGGGAGGGGCTGGATTGGCGGGTCACATTACACAGTTCAGTGTCATTTAACACTGCCTGGGCCAGGGATTCCTGGGGCTGAACGGCTGAAGGCGCCCTTCAGCCCAGGCATCAGGGGTCCGGGGAACTGTAGTGATATTTTCAAGGCTAATTCTGTGTCCAGTTATATTTCCATGGCCTTGCATCAGGGGGCCAGGATGAAGCCCCTTGTAGAGGTCCCAAAAGTGTCTGTCCACATCCTCCCAGTCTGGATTGGCGTCTGTTCCTGATCCCACACCCCAAAAAGCTACAGACCTACAGATCCAGGCCAACCCCACACGTAGGGTGCCCAAATGTTCCAATTTTATAGGGACAGTCCCGATTTTTGGGGCTTTGTCTTATATAGGTGCCAATTATCCCCTACCTCCTGTCCTGATTTCACCCTTGATATCTGGTCATCCTACCTACACATGCTCTCGGACACTCCCCTACCTTTGTTCTCCGGGGGACAGCCCATGCTTGGCCCATCTAGCACCTGTTAGATTGCCTGTTAGTTGCTTTCCCCTTCCCTGGGGGGGTCAGTGTTACGCTCTTAATGGGGAAATGCAGGCCTGGAGAAGGGGGACAGAACCCTAGTGCCTTGCCTGCGTCTCTGTTGCTCTAACCACTAGATTCTCATTCCCTTTGCTAAGGAGTGCTCGGCAGCCCCTTGGCTCAGCAGCAGCACTGGCTGGGGGGTGGTTCACAGCCAGGGTGGGAGTGCCCACACTTACCTTCCGAGTGGTGGGAGAGAGTGAGCAGACTGACACAGGAGGCGCCGATGCCGGAGCCAAAGACAGTGATTCGCAGGGGGTCCCCCCCCGAAGAAGGCAATATTTTCACTGATCCAGCGCAGCGCCTGGATTTGATCCAGCAGCCCATAGTTCCCCTTGGCTGCCTGGTCCCCGGTGCTCAGGAATCCTGCGGCCAAATGGAACCCACTTAGGACACAGCAAACAGCCGGTCTCCTGACCTCCCACAATCCCCTCCAGCCCCAGCCAGCTTGGGAGCCCCTCTCAAACCTCTGGCTGCGAGCACTGTGGACAAGGCCGTGCAGCAAGCCTCTGGGATCTCCTTTGACTGTGAGCCTCAGGGCTGAGGCCAGAGACCCCCACTGTGAGCCCTGGGGCCCCCATCCCTTGCCAGCCCCTGGCATCTCCCCACTGAGAACCCCCAGGAACAGGCTCTGAATCTCTTGGGGCCTCCATCCCCGCTGTGAAATGGAGGTGCAGAGGAATGAGCCTGCGTGGGCACTCAGCTGAGCCATCCGCTCACTGAGAGCCTTGGGCACCATCAATAGAGTGACTCAGGCCCTGAGCCCTGTCCAGCACAGGCTGCAAGAAGCTGTCCTGCTGGGCTGACAAACCCAGGAGTCCCCCAGCCACCTCCCCATCACCCAACAGGGCATCATCTCTCTCTGCCTGCAGACACTCTCTCATACACGAGCCAGAGTCCCTGTGGCTTTCACTGCTCTAGCAGGAGGCGGCGGCTCACTTCCCCAGAGTGGTGGGGCTCAGCCATCTGCAGGCTCCCTACAGCCCAGGGGAGCCGTCAGCTTCTGCCCTCGGTGATTTCTTCAGGCCAAACCATTGGCTTCGGGCATTAGCGAAAGAAACAACCAGGCCCCATAGTCCCTGACTCCAGCACCAGCCCAGAGAGGCACCTGTGCTCAAGGGCTCCAAGCACAGAGCAGTATGACTGCTGGTCGTGGCAGGGCTCACCGGTCCAGCCCCTAGCTTTCACCAGACCTGCAGCAGCTGGCAGAGCCAACATTCCTCCATTCTGCAGAGCACCCGGGCTGAGCATCCTGCCATCAGCCTTCGAACGCCTCCCAGAACCCAGGGCGCTCGACCAGCACTGCTTTGGGGGCGGCTGCGGGAGGGGAGTGGAAAGCCCTCAGAAAGCCCCTGTTCACAGAGAAGTTGGGCTGGGGCAGAGGGAGGGTTTGGGGCTCCAGGCATCAACGAGGGGGCTCCGGATGAACCTGGCCACAGGAGAGGATTCCCAACAAGGCAGCTTCTCTGCCCACCTCAGGAATGCTCCAGCCCAGGCTCTTGGAGCTGGGGCAGGGCAGGGGGGAAGCTGTTGCAGAGCTGGGAAGAGGTGCCTGGTGCCTGATTTTGAGAAGCCCATGTGTCCCTAGCCCCAGCAGATGTCAGTGTGAGCTCTGGGAATCATGCCCCAGGAGTCTCAGGTCAGCACACTTCTCCTAAGTGACTCGGTCCCACATCTGCAACTGGCCTGCCCTTGCCAATCCTCCCTCCACAGGACAATCTGTCAAGGGAAAGGTGGAAGAATACACACACTGCAGGGACCAAGCCCACAGGCTGCCCTGGGGGAGAGGGGCTAGACATGGCCGTGTCCATCTGCAGCGGCCAGCTCTGCATGGCTCCAGCGCTGGCAGGCCCACTGGCCATTGCCAGGAGCAGAGCTGTGCCCTGCAAGCACTGACATAGCCTGGGTCTGGGCTCTTCTGTGGTACACCGGAAGGGTAAGCCATCTGCCCTTCGAGAAAGTTCCCATCGATCTGTTTCCAGAGGCAGAATGGTTGGGACATGTCTCAAGGGGCGGCTCATTAGTGCTGGCCAGGCAGCTGCTGCTCCCAGCCTCCAGGGAGGAGGAGCTGGATAAACACATGTATTAATTATTTAACCACAGATCAATATTTGCTTTCAGCTGAGCCAGGCTGTGTAAATGAAACTAAACTCCTCAGCCCAGGGAGCCTCAGCACTCCCCTAGGGCCCAGCCGCAGGCATGTACAGAGCTGGCAGAGAGGTCAGGAATGGCAGCAGGAAGCAAGAAGGGCCAGCTAGAGGCCCCAAGACCACTCCCACCGTTCTCAGGTGATGCTAGCAGGACTGAACAGTCTCGATGACATCCTCATCCCTCTGCCCCAACCCTTCTGGCCATAACCTGACCCCTTCCTTGGGCCCCTTCCCTGAGCCACGGGGAGACATGAGGGCAGGGCTAGAGAGGCCTGGGCTGAGGTTCTACCCTCACCTCTGTGAGCAGACCAGGATCTGCAGCTAGAGGAACTGCAGGGAAGGGCAGAGCGCAGCCTCCAGCAGGGATACCAAACTGGCCTCCTCATGGAGCTTCTGACCCCACAGGGCGCAGCAGGACTTCCTTCCAGCCTGTCAGCTCCTCTCTGAGCAGGCCACTTCCCTTCCTAGGCCAGCCTGAGCAGAGTCCCCCTGGAGCTCTGCCCTCCCGCAACACCCCTGCCCCCGGGGCTCTGCCCTCTGCTCCCTTGCTCCCTGCCCTTGGGGCTCTGTCTCCCACACTCCTGCTCCCCCCACCTAACAAGAGATGAGTCCCTCAGGGCTCTGCCCCACACATCCTTGCCCCCCTTTTGCCCCCGCCTGGGAGCTGGCCCTGCTGCACCCATACCTAGCACACCCACGCGGTAGTTGAGGGTGATGACGATGACGTTGCCGTAGCTGGCCAGGATGCTGCCATCAATCATGTTCCCTGTGCCCTCCATGTAGGAGCCACCATGGATATAAACCATCACGGGCTTGGCCCCACTGTCGCGAATGTCTGAAAGAAGAGGAGGTTAAACACAGGACTCTGCCAGGAGGGGCGGACCCAGGGGAGGGGAACAAAACCAGCTGCCAGGACCTGCGGAGGGGTTGCGCTGCAGCCATTGCCCACGCCAGCTAAGGCCTGGGCATCTCACCCAGAACAAACGGAGCCCAGCCCACCACAGGTCATGCAGTCACCTGCCCTCTGGGATTCCCAGAGACCTTACAGGCCCAACCCCCTCGGTGCCAGATCCTGGCACCACTTCTCTCACCAGGCCCACGGAGCCAGCTGCCCCAGGTGGGTCAGGGCTCTGCAGGCCACAGGCCCACTGAAAGGGATTCCTGGCCTGCCAGCCCAGGTGGTGCATTTCCCTGGAGATGGGATATTGCTGTACGTCACTCAGCACTGGGCCCATCCTGGGGCTCCTTCCCCAGCAGCCTGGCAGGGAGCGTTCTGCATGCACAGGGGCTGCAGGAGCCTGCAAACACCCCAGCTGCAGCAGGCTGGTGGCTAGCTGAGTCCTGGAAGCTGACATTGCTTTGGGAAGGAGGGGGGATGTGCAGGACCTGGGGCAGGTGGAGAGAGATCACAGCTCGCAGTTCTGACCTTGCCATGGAAGGCAGGAACCCCTCTGTCTCTTACCACGTCCTCCTAGCTCTACTCCCAGTGCCCAGACACACCATGGTAATGAGGGGCAGATAGACTGACCAGAGGGGCACAGGGAATGGGGGAGATGGAGGAGCAGGGAATGAGGGGAATACAGGAGAGTGGGGACTGGACTAGGTCCTGTGGAATGGAATGCCAATGGAGGGGGTGCTGGAGAGTGAGGGGTCATGGGGGGAGGAGTGCTACATGATATGGGGATATGGGGGATGGGAGGCAACAGGTGCCCTCTCTTCTGTCTGTGAACATCTCAACGGAAGGTCCTGCTGCACCCCCAGCCCTGCCCCTGGCATGCCTGCCAGAGGAGTGGGCACTGGAGCCCCTCCATCTCTGGCTACAGACCTCACGCTCCTTATGCTTGGCCTCAGCATCTCTCTCGCTCTCCTCAGCAGGCGCTGGGGGTCCAGCACAGGTAGGTCAGCCCTTTGCTGACTCCTGCCCTGTTTTCTGTCTCCCGAGGCAATGCCTGAAAGGGCCAGTGCCGGCCACTGGCAATACTTTTGCGCTGGCTGAATAGAGGCACACAGCCATGTTACAGGTGCTCCTCTGCCGCCTGGCCTAGCCCTCTGACCACAGCATCCCCTGAGGCTGGGACCCACTTCTCTATAACTGCTCATTCGCCTAGCTCCCCTTGCTCTCCCTGCTGAGTGCCAGCAGCCGAGAGCCCCTGCAGACACACAGTGATCCCAGGCCAGGCAGGCTCAATTCTGAGCAAGACAAACCTTCCAGCACCCTCAGCAGGACAGGGGCCCACAGGGTAGTGAGACACGGGCAGCGGCACTGGTTGGCCATGGACCCCACTGGGCTACCATGCATGCATTGGGCCTGGGGCCTTGGTCTCTCCTTTGGATGGCTGCCCTGGTGAAAGAGATGACTTTTCATACCCCAGGCTGGCAGCAGACAAACAGGGCAGCATCACCCCAGGCCAGACGGTTGACGGGGCTCAGACGGGTCTGCTAACCTCAGCTCTGAGTTCTCTGTGGAACCAAGCTGACTGCTGCCCCAGACACCAACAAGCGAGACCTTCCCAGCACTCCTGACAGACACAGGGGCATCTGGTCCTTCCTCACCCCCATCTTCCCAGGGGAACCTGGGGAAGTCATGGCCCTTCTCCCTAGAAGGGGCCTACAGGTCAGTGTGCCTGTGAGAAGAGCATCTCCTGAGGCTACAAGCAGAGCCCACCCATTAGCCCTCTACATGTGGCCATAAGTGTCCCCTCTCTGCAGGCCCAGCGACTCCCAAATGCCTCAAACTCTCTGGTTGGCTGGCGCTGAATCCCCTTTGAGCAGGCAGAGGCTGGGCAGGCTTTCCCCAGAGGGAAGTTCTCAGGCTTTCAGCCTTGACTTGGGAATGCATTTGGCATCTAGCTTAGTCTCTTGCCAAGGAATTTACCGTCCCCCTTCACCACACTCCTCGCTGAACCCATCCCCACACACCATGCTGGGCAGGATGAGGACATCCGCTCCATTGTACAACTGGAGGCTGGGGCCAGGAGCGGCCCACAGTCACGCAGAGAGCCTGCGGCACAACCAGCCTTGAAGCCAGGACTCCTGAGTCCCAAGGTGGCTCCTTAACCACTAGACAAAACAGCCCTCCTCTGATGCTGTGATTTGCTTTTGTCAGACACACAAACCTCTCAAGCCCTGACCAAAGGCTGGGGAGACAGCAGCATACAGGAAATGGCCACTGAGGCTCCCAGCCCGAGCTCCAGTTGTTGGAATGGCCTTTTGGTGGCTGCAGCTGGAGTCAGAACTCTGAGGGGAAAGCCCAGAACTACCACCAAAGCAGCGTGTCCACAGCCTGTCAGGTTCATTGGGGGTGGTTTAATTATACCGAGGGACGAGCACTCTTCCAGTGGTATAGAGGGGCTACACAGGAGACCTTACAGCGGTGCAGCTGTAAGGTCCGTAGTATAGACGTAGCCTAAGGGGATTGTCTGTGACTCCATGGTAAGACTGTTATAGTGATCCAGGGGTTCACATTTGTTACTGGCTTGGTGAAATCTAATTATAGAACATACTGCCAGTTTGGGGTGTCTGTCCTGTTTTTGACAGTCTGCCCTGAGGTAAGCACTTGTGGCCATGAGGCACTTCAGACAGCTTGACAAGCATGACTTCCAGAAAAGCACCCTGTCTGGATCTGAAGACATCAAGAGATGGAGAATCCCCATTCCCTCTGGGAGTTTGTTTCAGTGGTTAATCACCTTTGCTGTTACAAATCTCTAGGGCCAGATTAACTCTCCTGTGGGTCTGGGGCTATTAGATTTTATGGGGCCCCTGTATACAAGTCTGTTTCCTGGGAGGGAGTTTGGTGCAGGATGGGGCTGGGGCAGAGGACTGGGATGCAGGAGAGGGTGCGAGGTGCAGGCTCCGGCTGGGAGGTGCTTACCACGGGCGGCTCCTGGCCGGCAGCGCAGCAGGGCTCAGGCAGGCTGCCCTAGCCCCATGTTGCTCCTGGCAGCGACTGGCTCCTAGCACATCTCTGCAGCTCCTGGGCGGAGGGGGACAGCATGTCTCTGTGTGCTGCCCGCGCCTGCAAGCACCGCCCCCAGCCAATGGGAGCTGTGAGGACAGTGCTGGGGGCGAGGGCAGTGTGCAGAGCCACCTCCCCCCCTTGCCAGGGGCCATAGAAACATGCAAGCAGCCAGCCGCTTCTGGGAGTGGCATGGGGCCACAGCATGCAGGCAGCCTGCCTGAGCATCTTGCTGCTCTGCGGGACTTTTAGCAGCCCAGAGTTGGAGATCGCTGCCTGTGATTTATTTTTGCAGGGCCCCCCCTTGAACCCAGGCCCTGGGCTGCAGCCCCTAAATCCCTGCCTTAATCCAGCCCTGCAAATCTCTGCTTAATTTCTAATTTGAATTTATCTAGCTTCAGTTTCCAGGCATTGGGAAGGATTAGATTCTTTGTCAGTAAATGTTGATAAGTGTCGATTTCACCATGCACACACAAACTAGTGAAAAGATATTTCCATTGATAATTAACAACATTTACTGATAGGCAAAGTAAGAAAAATGCTGCTTCAGAAATTACTAATTTGATTGAAAAGTATTTACTTAGCATAATTGACATGTGATGTTGACAATATGTGTTTTAACAATTATAAAGCTTTAACTTTTGAAATCTCAATGTTTACTGTCATTTAATTATTGTCTGACACCCCCATAATTTTCTATGACTATGAACATTTAAAATGATAAAAAATCTTTAAAAATACTTAAAACCCAGAATTTTGTGCACTCTGAAAATTTTAAAATCAATACAAATCTAACAAATGCTTAGAAATAAACATTGCTATTCTCCATTAGAAATGATCAAAAACTTTAATTAGGCGTGGCAGAATTCAATTTTACAAACCCTTTAGAACCCACTATTTCTCCCTGGGAAGGAATTTATATGCTGTGATCAAATCACCTCTCAGTCCTCCTTTTGATGGGCTAAAAAGATGGAGCTCTTAAGTTCTCTCACTGTCAGGCATTTTCTGCAGCCCTCAAATAATTTTTGTGCCTCTTTTCTACACCCTCTCCAATTCTGGACTCCTGCAGGGTCAGAACAGCCCCTGGTGTGTAACTTAGAGCAACCCTGGGGCTGCTCTAAGTTACTGCAGCTTGCTCAGTTGCTACCTGTCACTTGTGGCACAAGCAACTATGGCCACAGCAGCATAGGCTACACCTCCCAGCCCAGCCCAGTCCTTAGGCTGAAGCTCGCCAAATGCATCGGGGGCACCAAGGGGATTCTCACTTGGCTTTTACAAGCAGCTTACAGTCCCTGGTCACTGTCAGAGCAGCGTACCTGTTGGTGCTGAAGGCAGAACCCTCTCCTGCTGTGTCACCAGGTGGCAGCAAGCCCCGCGACTGCACCTGGGGTGGAGAATTCTTTGAGGCAACTACAGGGAGGAGTTGCTACACAGAGCATCTGGACATTGTCCTGTGGGTGGGCCGCACAAGGTGGAAAGGCTACACGTTCTGGACCCTTTCTCATTTAAATCCCTCAGACTGGGTCCCTCTTCAGACCTTTCGCATCTCAGCCCCGGCGGAGCTAATGTCTCTGGCAGCAGCATTCTCAGCACAGCGGTTTTTCAGTCCTGCACATGGGACTGCCATCACCAAGCCACTTACCCCCTGGTGCCTTAGTGTAGCTAAGCCAGTGCAGCATGGGAGACGTTGTGACACAAAAGGGGAAGCTGCTTTCTGCCCCCCCCCCCAATCTAAGCACCCATGTGTACATACATAGACACCCCCGTTCCCAAATGCCACAGCTGCAGTGAGGAGGCTGAGGGCCACACAGTGCCAGAGAATGTGCAATCCTCAACATTGCGTCCGCCAAGGATGTTGCCAATGAGGTGAATTTATCACAGTGATGTGCACTGAAGACAAACACCAATTTAGGTCACAGTACAAGGGGTTCTGGGATGGGGCAGGGATCACAGGGGCAAAAGGCTGCAGATGGAAAGACAGGCTGGTTTTGCCAGGTTAAATTCCATCTGCCAGAAGGGTGTCCAGAATGCCATAGGACTCTCACAATTCACCAGTTTCCACTGACATCAGTTTACAGCTGTGTCCTCTGTAAACTTCCCCACCTGCCAACATGATAGGCCAGTTGCCTTTTATACTGAGTAACAGTCAACTTTGCAGCTTCCTTAGGCCTGATCTACATTCCAAGTTGCTCCGGATTAAAATCACATCTTCAGTTAAAGTGATACAAGACCATACCTGGATGCTGGGAATTCAGTTTAAACCTGGCTTGTATCAATAGGGAATCGAGTGAAGTTAAATGGATACAAGCCAGGTTTAAACTGAATTCAGAGCATCCAGACAGGGTGTTGGACCAGTGTGACTCAGTCAGCTTAAAAGCCCATCTTCAGTTATGCTGCTGCAACTGTGTAGGGCAAGGCGTTGGCCTCTGGGCACAGCAAGGTCCTTGCTGATCTGCAAATTTTGGGGCCTATTGTTTACTCCCACTTGCTCCACCCTCGTTTTTGTTTTCACTGCCAGCAATCTGGGCTCTTTGTGATTCAGGGGGAGACACCTCCTTGCACTAGCTCCTCCAGGCAGGAAAGGACCACAACCCCCCCTTTCTGCACCTTCCAGGGACTGAGGCGCCCTAGGGGGAACCCTACTCCATGATTACTGGCAACTGCACATGGAACCAAGAGCATTACAGAGACTCGAAGGCAGCAGCGGCAGAGGCCATGCCTAAGCCATCCATGTACCAGGCTCTGCTGCCTCAGCTAGCCACATGCCCCCCTTCCGGAGGGCACTGCCCAGTGCAGGAGGTAGGACTGTCCATGTAGCAGCCTGCTGGGAGTCACACCTGCCCTCTAGGGTGTGGAACAACAGCTCCTGTCTCTGACAGGAGAGATGCAGAGTGGGAAAGGACTGGAAGGGTGTTCCCCTAATGCAGACCTCCCCACTATAGCCAGACAGCTATATGGAATTGAGTATTTCCCAGCGCCCTGGGGCTTGAGCCCAACTTGAGGCACCAGGGCTCCCGGGGGTTTGAAAATATTTAATGGAGCTCTGCTCCAGCTGATTTTAAGCCCTGAATCCACAAGACCAAGCGCAGCGTAGAGGCTCAGAGCTGAGAGGGCAAAGATGGAAAATCCCAGCACCACATTTCTTTCTCTAAATCTCACAACTTTTGGGGGGCTGGCTTGTGACTCCTGACCATCTGGGGTTGGCCATCTCCTCCTGGTCTCACACACCAGACCTCCAGAGTGGCGTGTGGCTTGACCCCATGAATGCGTGAGTGTCCATCAGGGACCCTGGTGGACCCAGGGAGCAGCCATGGGCCCTGAGAGGGTGAGAGAACCTGGCTATGCTCTGATGTGACTGCTGGGAGCAGGCTCCCCCTTTCCTTCCTAGGCTTGTCTGAGGCTCTGGCCAGGAGCTGAGCAAGGCCAGCCCTGACAATGCTGTCTCACTACCAGGGGGGTATCGGGACACACAGAGAGGGGCAAATGACTGGCCTTTCGTACCAGCCAAGGGAGGCTCCAGCAGGCAGGGCCACATCCTCCTCCATGTGTCTCTGGTCTCTAGTACACCTAGATACAAACTCCAGAGCCCACATCCGCCCCACTCTCCACCACCATCCCCCTGGTGTCTTGGGATCACCCTTCCCACCCAGTTGCTGCCAGCCCGGTCGTTTCCCTGTCCAGCTCTATGCCTTGGTGATCTCCCATCTAGTCTGCTGTGCTGCTCTCCAGCCCCACTCTGACCTTGCAACCCTTGAGCCTGTCCAGACACTGCTCCCACCACAGCAAACTCCAGCTGCTCCTTCTCTGAGGCGCTGAACAGCTCTGGCCACGCAGCTGTTGCCTCCTGCTGCTGCCAGATGAACTGAGAAAGGGCCTCTTAGGCTGAGCAGCTGGAAACCACTGCCTTAGCACCCCCCCAGGAAGAGCCCTGCACTCCTTGCCTGGGGGACAGTGTTGGCTGGGAATCGACCCCTGCGGGGCAGGCTGGGAGCCCCGTGGCCACCACATTGAACATGAATGTACCACAGGGAACCCTGCACTGGCAGAGATCGAACTGGTCTTCTCTGCCTCTAGATTCTGAGCCTCGCTGATTCCTTAGTCCAGGCCTGCTCCATCTGAGACATCAGCACCCCATGTTCCGGGGACTTGATACCAGGGTGCTGGCACGATACAAAGCATCTGGTGCGCACCCGACCCCCTGGCCAATCATCACATGCACTGCCCCAGCAGCAGAAAGCATGCCTGGCCCTGGGTGGCTGCTGCCCATGGCTCCACCTCCAGCCGTGGGCTTAACTTGGGGAATTCTTGCCTATTCCTTTGTGGTGGATCTAATGTTTAGCCACCCAAATGCCAAGGTCATTAACTCACAGTTAATCAGGCTGCCATCGCAATGACCACCACCTGCCACAGGGCAGCACCACTTCTCCCAGTGCCCCCTACTGACTCAAATCAGCTGCACCCTCCCATACTGTCCAGGCCCCAGTTCTGCATTGGACATGGCAGGCAAAATCAGATACTCCTCTCCACTCTGCTGAGAAAAGCCACCTGCCAAGGCTGATCTGTCCCTGGCCACACAGAGCCCAGCTCCCCAAGAGGGGTGGCCAAGCCACTGAAGTAATGCTTGCCTTCCCTCCCGTTCCCACAGCCAGGCCCTCGTGAGACCAGTTGCCAAATTCACCAGCTCATTGTGACAGCGTGCAGACAGTGCCCCAGTTCGCTCCTGCCAGACAGCCCCATCCAGCGCTGGCATGTTCACTCTCTCACCCACATGCTCTGCCATACCCTCAACAAGCAGCACAGCATGCCTGTCCTCACCCACGCCTGGACAGTATGAGAGCTGCTGTCCTCCTCGAATCCACTCACATGGGGCTTGGGCCCAGAGCTGGCAAGTTACTGACTCACGAGCAGAGTGTTGTGAAATGCATGGTTGCCCTTAACAGCAACTGTGCAGCAAGCACAACCAGGTATTTAAAGCAGAAGATCATACACCCAAATGGGGGACTTCTGTCCCCCTCAAATCTAACCCGCTGAGCTAGCCTGGGTGACGTTAACCGGACACTACGGCACAACCTGCAACAGAACGCTCAGGGCTACTCTCTGCAGGTCCAGTTGCCCTTCACTGGACAGGTGACGGGCATCCCTGCTCCTAAATGAAGATGCTAACCCTGGAGAGAAAGCAGAGGCCAGTAAAGTGACAGTGCTCTCTTCTGCAGGTCTCCAGAGCTCCTGACAGCTCTGTGCTCAGCATCTTGCCTTCATCCATATTTCCAGTTTCCTCTGCACCTGCAGTGGGGAGTGGCAGTGGCAGAGCGCACGCGAGTGGACGCATGAGAGAGAGAGAGCGAGAGAGAGAGTGAGCCGGACTAGACTCTAGATAGCAAATCCGGACATGGGTTAAAGCAGGCCTGGACTGCGTTCTGCCATATGCATGCTCCCTGCAAGCCAGTGGGGCCCCAGAGGGAATTGCACGGGACACAAGGGGATGAGGTCAGGTGTTGCCTGCTCTGACACTGTGCACGGTGGGGAGAAGGGAGGTTGGGATGGCAGCATGGGGGTGGAGCCAGAAAGGAAAGTCTCTTCATTGACACAGTAAGTCTGAGGTTCAGCGAGAACGGAGGCTGGAGGTGAAATGTGACTGGGTGTGGGGTGAAATCGACCCAGGCACCCTTTGGCTCCTCTCTTGTTCACATGTCGCCATGCTTCCTTAGAGCCTTTTGCTCATACAGAGGCAGACTGGGCAGCCAGCAAACTCCTTCTAAAGCAAAACCCCCTGAGCTTCCCCCAAAGGAAAGGTATGAGCACCCCCTGCACAGCCGGTCACCCCACCTGGCCACCCCGTGCAACTGCTCAGCCCAAGGAAACAAAGACACAGACAGACAGGGCTCCCTGAAAATGGCAGAGAATGGAAAGCAAACGGATTTGCTTTGCGTGTCATGCAGCAGCAGCAGCCTCGAGCACAGAAATACCTTCATCTTCATCCCCGTCATTATCCGCTAAGTCCTCGCCCTGTTTCTTAGCGCTGGCTCCTAGGGACCAAACACGAGGAGACAGAACAAAAAAGAAAAACAAAAAACAAAAACAAAAGAGAATTCAAAAATAGCATGATAGCAGAGAAGGAGGCCAGGCCCACAGCACCACCTGGCTACTCACACCGCATCTCTCCATGGGCTCGGCCAGTGCGGCTGGCCAAGCACAGCCACAGTTCAGAGCAGACAGGGACTGCCTCTCCAGGCTGCCGGCCCCCGCCCACTGAAGTCTGCCCTGGGAACATGTGCTCCTTGGTCTGGGGCCCAGGAGAGGGAGAGAACAGGCCTCTTTAAGCAGGACAGCAGATGAGCTTGTGTGCCCTCCTGCCTTCCCCTTCCCTGCTACATCCTCAGCCTCCCCGTGGCCCACACTTTGCAACTGATTCTTGGACTGATTTGGGGTAAGCTCTGTACCCTGCCCATCGGCAGAAAGCCAGTAACACTAACTCATCATCCTGGTTCCACTAAACCGGTGCCAGTTAGTTTGTAGCCCCGGCCTGACTCTCAAACACCTCTGCCTCCCTTTTCTCTCCCCATCAACCCCCCACCATCCCAGGGGTGTGCATGCTGCTCGGTGGAAGGGGCTGCTCTCCTGCTGGCACTGGGTGGCACCCCCTTATTTTCACTGTACTGCAGGCAGGGTTTGAAGCTGAAGCTCTGTCCTTTCACATCAAACCAATTACAGGCACAGTCAGCCACGAACGCCCAAAGCTGCCAAGAAGTTTGTATGCCATCAAACCCCAGAGCCATTGAGACCCCAAGACAGTGTGTGCCCTGAGCCTTGCTTCCCTGGACTGTAATAATGCAAACAGGCATAGATCTGAAACTTGCAAGGGCTGAAAAACTGGCTGAAGGATGTAAACAGAGGGCAGCGGATGGCATGGGGGAAACAGCTGCCAGGAGGACTCCAGTTAGACTGGCCTGATTTAGCATGTTAGCAATCACAGACACAGTGGTGAGCAATATGTGGGTGACATTCCCAAGTGACACTAAATTGAGAGAAAGCCAGAACCTCTGGGAGACCAGAAGCATGATCTAAAGGGGTCAGAGAGGCTGGAAAACCCGAGCAGGAAATAACAGAATGGGATTCCGCTGAGAGAAATGCGGTTAGTGGGTCTGGGAGAAAATAACCTAAAAACTTCCCCAGTGGGAAGGGCAAACTGTAGATACAGCAGAAAGGAATGACAGGAGTAGGGAATTAGAGTGTTATGGAAACAAAGGGCAGGGCAGTTCTGTGCTGCAAATGGAAAGCATGGCCCAGCCCATGAAGTGGGAGCCCCTCTCTATCCCTCTCTGGAGAGACACCCCCCAGGATCCTGTGCTCACCTTCCAAGCCCAGAGCTGGGAAGGAACGGCCCTTCTGTGCATAGTTTTGGTGAGGTCACATAATCTACTAGATGCCCCAAAAGCCACAATTTCATAATTGAGGAAGAAGGTCATAGTGGTTAAAAACCTATCCTGGCTCAGAGGGGAAGTGATGGCAGCTATAAATATATATATAACAAATGGAAGAAAGTGGAAGTCAATAGTAATGAATATAAATCAAAAGCTAGGAACTGTAGAAAACTCATAAGGGAAGCCAAGGGACACAGTGAAAAATCTATGGGCAACAGAATTAAGGACAATAAGAAGGAATCTAAGTATATTAGGAACAAAAAGAATCCTGACAATGGCATTGGTCTACTACTAGATGGAAATGATATAATTACCAATAATAATGCAGAACAGGCAGAAGTATTCAATAAATAATTCAAGAATAATTAAATTAATAGAGGTAAATGGTAAAGGGGATGTAATGCAACATGGGTTTACCAAAAATAAATCACACCAGACTAACTGATTTCCTCCTCTGAAAAAAATCACTGATTTTTTAGATAAGGGAAGGGCAGGAAATCTAATATACTTGGACTCCCGTAAAGCATTTAACATGGTACCACATGGGAAATAATTAGTGCAGTTAAGGAAGAAGGGATCAGTACAAGCATTGTAAGTTGAATAAGGAATTGGCTAAAGGTGAGAAGGCAATGGGTTGTGCTGAAAACTGAATTATCAGCCTGGAGGGACATTATTAGTGGAGTCCCTCCAGGATACATCTTGGCACCAATATTATTCAATGTTTTTATTAACGACCTTGGCAAAAAAAGTAGGACTCCGCTGATGAAATTTGCTGATGATAGAAAATTGGGAGGCACCATCAATACAGAGGAAGATCGGAATAATATACAGGAAAAGCTGGATGACCTTGAAGACTGGAATGACAGAAATGGGATGAAATTAAATAGTACAAAATCCAAGGTCACACACTTAGGGTCTAATAGGAATTTATGCTACAAACTGGGGGCTCATCCATTGGAAGTAACAGAGGAGGAGAGGGACCCTTGTGTGTGGACTGATTACAGATGACTATGAGCCATCAATGAGCTGCATTCAAGAGTTTCAAAGAGCTGGCTGAGGAGCTTGCTGGCCTGTTAATGATTTTGAATAAATCTTGGAACACAGGGAAAGTCCCAGAAGACTCACAGAAAGCTAACATTGTGCCAATAATTAAAAAGGGTAAACAGGATGATCCGGGTAGTTACAGGTCTGTCAGCCTGACATCAATCCTGGGCAAGATAATGGAGTGGCTGATGCAGGACTTGATTAATGAAGAATTAAAGGAGAGTAATATAATCAATGCCAATCAACATGGGTTTCTAGAAAATAGAGCCTGTCAAACTAACTTGGTATCTTTTTTGATGAGATTACAAGTTTGACTGATAAAGGTAAGTGTTAATGTAATATGCGTAGACTTCTGTAAGGCATTTGACTTGGTATCACATGACATGGTGATTAAAATATTAAATCAATATAAAATTAAAATGGCACACATGCAACTGATTAAAAGCTGGTTAACTAATAGGTGTCAATGTAATTATAAAAGATGGTTACTTACCTTTATTGTAACTGTTGTTGTTCTAGATGTGGATGCAGACACGTATTTCATTCAGGAGAGAGCACACCCAACACACCAAAGTTGGAGATTTTGCCTAGCAACACTTATGCCCCATCCCACATATATACCCAGGGGAGAGGCTAAGGCCAGCACTCTGTTCCTTCACACCAAAACCCCAGGTTGGAGTTTTCAATGCAGAGGGGTGGAGGGTGGGTTGCAGAATACATGTCTGCACCCACATCTCAAAGGACAACAGTTACAATATAAGTAGGTAACCGTCTTTTCAAGTTTGTACAGGAAAACACACATAAACTGGTGAATATCCTCCAGCCATCGCAGGGATCTGCCCCAGGTCTGGTTCCAGTCACTATCTTTACAAATGATTTGGATAATGGCACACAGAGTACACTTAAATAGACTCTGATTCCACAAGCAGTTCCAGCAGGTGATGGGCTCAGAGTCTATTTAAACTGTGAAAGCCGAACTGCCTTCTCAAAGTTTGCATCCCTTCTCAGTGCCGTGATGATAGCATAATGTTTAGTGAAGGTATGCAAGGAGTACCATATTCCAGCCCTGCAGATATCCACCACGGAGACATCCCTAAGGAATTCATCCGGTGTCGCTTGAGCTCTTGTCGAATGAGCCCGCAATGACTGCAGAGGTATCAAAAGCCAGTGTAGAAGGTGTGGTAATGCAGGCAGTTATCCACCTGGAAATGGTCTGAGTAGCAACTGGTTGTCCCTCCAACCACTCAGCGAAGGACAGAGCCAAGGTGACGAACAAAACGGCTCAGTTCTTTCTAACTAAGATGCTAAGCACCAGCTCACATCTGAGCTATATAGCTGCTACTCCTCTGAGCTCGAATGTGCTTTGGGAAAAAATATAGGTAAGTAAATAACCTGACTGGGCAAAAATGTTGGGTGTGGTCTTAAAGCCTCCTTGAAGGCCTGAGTGTACAGAAAATCTGCCATTAAGGGTTGCAGTTCGCTAACTCTTCTTGGGGGTGGAATGGCGCCTTTTGAGAGAGGAGAGCCCATGAATATGTTGAATGGCAGACCCATCAGTGCCCCACGACCATATTAAGGTCCCACAATGGTGCTCTTACCTTCACTGGTGGAAAATGACAGATAATCCCTTTGAAAAACCTCACCATTATACGGTTTGAGAATACCAAGTTTCCATGAACGGGAAGGTGGAAAGCTGAGATCGCCACCAAGTAAACCCTCCGGGAGCTCAGAGTGAGACCTGAAGATTTCAAATGCAACAAATAAACCAAAATGTCCTGAATCCCTGCTAAATGCAGTACTTCGCATTTGTCTTTATTGAATTTCATCCTATTTATTTCAAACCACTTCTCCAGTTTGTCAAGCTCATTTTGAATTCTAATCCTGTCCTTCCACGTGCTTGCAACCCCCAGCCCCAGCTTGGTATTAGCTGCAAACTTTGTAAGTGTACTCTGTGCCATTATCCAAGTCATTTATGAACAGAACTGGACCCAGGACAGGTCCTTGGCTGAAGGATATCCACCAATTTATGGGTGTTTTCCTATACAAACTTAGCTTGAATCTCTAAGGCCAATGCCATGCGCCTGAGCAGGTCCTGATATGAACTGAAGTCTTCTGGTTCCAGAGAGGATAACTAGGGTATTGCTGCATTATCTGGTGACGAAGAGGAAGACGTAGCTGGGAACAACAGAATCCCTTGAGGAATGACAGCTGACTGTCATAAAGGTTCAGGATGCTTCTTCGCAGAGGGAGCCCGCTAGTGGTTCCGGCAGGGAGTGCACTGAAGACATAGGTGATCTCCCCTACGGTGAGCAGGTGACCATGATTTTGCTGAATGAGGGAATACCCTGGGATTCCATGGAGGTCACTGTGGATGAGGATAGTGCATCAGCACCCAGAAAGAACTAGGCCAGTGTCCCATGTCTCTATTGCAGGAATGGTACCAATCCTGTCATTGACTATGATTTTCGCTGTGTCTTGACAATCTTCAAAAGCAAAATGGGGAAGGGGAGGGAGATGCCTCTAAGCTCATATTTGAGGATCCCTCCAAATAGTTGATGGAC